ACTTAATCCCCCAAATGAACTCACCCCTCGCTCCGCTACGCCCCGGCGAGCGTCCAGGTGCTGGCGTATCGTGCCGAACACGGGGTGCAATTAAAATTCAGAGGCTATTTAATCAGCTACCGATGCGGCCCGAGGAGTGGCTCGGCCGCGTCGGCTCGACGAATGAGAGCGGGCCGCCGAGAGAGCGCGCGCGCGCGGCCGCGTTCAACCCGCAGGGTGCACCTAAACAGAAGCCCCGAGGACACTAACGAGCGCGTGGACGCTCGTTAAGGCGAGAATGCGAGGTAGTCCGCGTTAACGAAATTTACGAAGCCGACTGGCGGTAACGAGTCCCCGCGTTTCTTAGCCGGGTTTCGCCAACCAGGGACCAGGGAGAATCTTAATCCCGCGATCTACGGATTCGTCTCGACTGGAAGGGACTGAATCGTGGAAAGGGCGGGGAGCAAGTGTCCTGGGACAAAGAACTGGCCGCTCGAATACGAAGTCAATTTCGCGGAAGAAATACGCGAAGGAAACCCTTAGCTCTGTGTTTTTGAATATGTCCTTCGATGATTTTGACATCCACCCTTCAACATGTGGACAATTTTCTATTGTACTCCTATGAAATTGGGGATGAATATTTTAGACAAGCTATTAAGAATGGAAGGTTTAATGGAACAGAAACGATAAGCGAAGAATGAATTCCGGAAATTAATGTTAGAGTAAGTATGCTCTTAGAAAAATAGGTCGAGATTGATAAGAGCGAAACGGGACTAAACGATTCTTCGTCGCATCCACTCGGTGCAAACATGAAGATACAAGAAACTAGACCAATAAACAGAGACGAGCTTTTCGACGATTCGTATGGCTGCCAGTTAGTTTGAGATGCTCGATGAAAGGAACGGGCCGCTAACGAGAAGCCCGCCGGTGATATGAGGAACAGCTTGTTAAGTGTTCAACTCGGTGATAACTTGAACACAGGTTGCGCGCATAAACATCGCTTCCTCGCGTCAACGCGGTTAACAATGCGTCGTTACTTCTCGGTGACGTGTTCACGAGCAATTCCGGCGAGGAGCATCGGTTACTCGACAGCTCATTTTCGGCGTTTTCTCGATGCGTTCCTCCCTCTCCTTTTTTTTCCTTCCCCGTAGGAGAAGCCATCGTGCGCTCGCGCGCGCTACAATTGACGTGATTCATCGTAACCCTTCGCGCGCGGTAAGAAGTTTTCCTGGTGCATGCAACTGCCAATCGAAGTCACCCCCACCCGTTTAATTCCCATAAATGACAATTCCCATTGAAGGAAGCCGTAAAAGGTTTTGCGCGGGTCTTACCGTGCCTACGCTGGCCAGATACTATCCCGGTAGGATTCGATCGGATTAGCATAGATTTCCGCGTTCCCTCGGCGCGGACGAGGCGCGCGGTGAATCCGGAATTACTCGGCGATAAATTTCGCTTCTTCGCGGGAAAAATAAGAAGGCCGCCGAGAACCGATACCGGCGGAGCGTCTTTGGGACCTTCCGGCGAGACTCGTTCGGTAATTAATCTACGGCGATTCCGGGCGCAGAAGAAACGTCGCCTGCTAACGGTGAATTAATATCGCAGCCGAAAAATGTTCCCCAGATAATCGCCGACCCGCTTTAACAAAACGAATTGAATATTTTATATTCCGCGCACACGGTGAGCACGTAATTATCAGCCTTATTATTCGATAAGCGGGCTTCGAGTGAAAGTAACAGCCGTAAGAAGCCGCGAGGAATCTTCGCGTCGATCCGTACTGTTCGATAATTCCGATCGCTCGAAACGAGGAAATCGTTTCATCTCGATATAGAGAGGAAGTCGAATCGAGCGTCGTCGTAGTCGCACGGGTCCGCCGATCGATGTCGACGCGCTTCAACTTTTCACCTGACCGACGATTTACGAGCCAACATTTTTTTGCCCGAGCACGGTCTATCCGCTCGAAGATCGGCCCATAATGAGGCTTAACGATCGCCTCGAGAGCACGTTGACGCGCGCGCCCCGAGCTCCTCGCGAGGCCCCCGACGAAAAATGAATACGTGATTCACGGCGCGCATGCACGCCACCTTTTCGAGGGTGAAAAACCGGCCCCGGGGATCGATCGTTCGCCGCGGTAACGCACCCCGTCCACGGACCTGTGCATCTCCGCTTCCCGCAGTGTCTCGTTATCTGATCCTCGTGATCGGTGTGTCGGTGAAGATTCGAAAAATTTGTAAACCTTTTTGAAAATTTGCTTGATAAATATATATTAAGGAAAATTAGAAACCTCCATTTATGATTTCATAAAAGATTCTTCGTTAGCGGAGAATGTTTATATTCCGTTAAATTTTTTCCACAAAGAAGATTAAAGATCTATATTTATAGTTTGATAAGCTCAATGTAATTAGAAAATTCTACATGGAAGTATCTTTCATTTTTCCTATTCTGTTCGAGGTCTTCGAAAAAGGGGATTAAACTTTTCCTTTTATATTTTAATAGGATTAATGTAACAGGAAATTTCTATGTATAACCGAATCCTTCGACAAAGAAGATTAAGAAGCCTGGGAATTGGTATGTAACAAAAAGTTGAATGTAAAATTGATATCATTCAACTTCCACTCGTTCTTTTTTGTGTATTTCAAACGAAATACGCTAGAAAATGTGTGTATTCTATTCGAATCTCTCGCCAAAGGAATCGAGCGGGAACAAGATACACGTCCAGTCGATAACACATCCGATCCGATGATGGGTGAGCCGTCGAAGGGCGCAACAATGAAGTAAATATATCAGATAAGATGTTTCTCCGGGCACCGCGTGCCCGCGATCGCGCCGGCTAAATATGTATGAGCGCGAGCAGGAATGGTCGCTTCAATCTCCCGAGGCCGATTAAGAATGCACGCAAATTGTTCGCGACTTAACCCCGGCCCCCAATAACTCAGCATTAAAGATGAAATTGGCGAGATAGGACCCGTGGTACGTGCCCGAATGGGCATTGTTACAACAGCCGTATTACCGTAATAGCGGCGATCATCGTGGGGAGAGGATGGGGCGGGCGGCGGTTCGCAATTGATTTATCCAGCGGCCGGGAAAACGATCGCGGACCACGGAACGATCGCGCGGCGAGCCAAGACGGCGCGGAACGAATCGCGAGAAACACAGTAATAGCGCGGGGGGCTGAGACGGTTGAAGCGGAGCGGGAGGAGACACCGATCAAATTGGCGAAGACAACTGGTCCGCGGGAGCCAGCGAAAAGCAATGAGTTCGAACGAGGAAAAATAGAAGAGGCTACGCAACCTCGTTCGGGGGCTGAAGAGCGACCGCGCAAGCGGTCGGTAGACGGCGGGGGTTGCCGAGGGAAGCTAAACGTGGCAGGAGCTAAGAGCCGGATCACCTAAGAGCAGATAGA